GCCCAAATTGTTATGCAAATTATATGATATTGGTATGCAAAAATATCTTTCTAATAAAATAAAATTACTTACTCTAGAGATACAATGTCTCCTCTTCGTAATTCTGAATTTCTGAGAGACCATCGACTTAAATATATGATGTCTTGAGTTAAAGACTTGTCAGACTTAGGATTAAGGACAGGCTAGAATGAGATAAAATTATCAAGTTGATAACATACTGGTAGTAGCCACTCAATATGATAGATACTCAAATTTTAAAAGACCAAAAAATTTTCTAATATCTATTATAATCTGAGACAAATATTTATAGCTTACAAGTACATTTAAAAGGTGACCATATTATCACTTTTAGAACTTGTTTATTATTGGATTCTACAATGGTAAAGACAACTACATGTATTTTGAAGGTGAAAAACAGAATTTTAGAAACAGTTTAAAATTAATTAAATAATCTGATTTGAGCACACTATTTGATTCACATTCTATAAAAACATACACTACGTTATTCAATGCCACTTAGTTATAGTTAGTTATAGTTAGTTATAGTTAGTTATGCACTAAACATTAATAAAATGTCATCTATTTTCCATAAAAACTATTATGCCATGTACGATACTCTTACATGTGATATTTTTGACATCCCAGCTTTAACATTCAATGGGTATGGATGATCTGATTGATCTGAAATCTTCAAAGATGCAAAAAGTTTGCCCATTTGATGACTTTCTAGTATGCAAATGAGACACGGAACTTGCTGAGACAGATATTTAAGTCAAACCTGTGTTAGTGACCACATTTATATAAAGACCACCTGCCCATGGTGACCACCTGCCCATAGTGACCACCTGCTCATGGTGACCACCTGCTCATGGTGACCACCTGCTCATGGTGACCACCAGCGCATGGTGACCACCTGCCCATGGTGACCACCTGCCCATGGTGACCACCTTTGAGCAGTATACCAATGCAATTTGCATTAAAAAGTGTATATAAAGGTCAAGTGTAATGAGTGACTGTTGGCACTGGTTTCAACAATTCCTGATTGCTAAATTACCATCAAACACAATGAAATTCTATTTGCGTATGCATAATCTACACAGCAATGGTAGGACAAAACTATAAAAAGTCAAAAGAACACCGGCAGACATGCAACCCAGAAAAAGTCAGCGGCATATTGAAAGATAGCGGAATTGTGATTGTGGTTGGGTACAAACGATGGCAGCTAGAAGAACTATTTAAGACAGCTGAGAAACATGGATTTCCGGTTGAAAAAGATGATTTTTCAGAGAAAATGTAGAGAAATAGAGATGTTACATGTGTGTTTCACAGAGTAAATATGACAGTGACATAGTTCTTTAACTTCCAAAATATCCGCAAAAAATATGAAAATATTACGCTGTACTATAGCCAAAGATAATTTGCATGTAGTGTGCAAATTATCAGACACTTGTACAAGATAGTTGGAAGATGATGGCAGTTTTATTTTAGGGAAATTTTTATGTTGCGAGTTTAAAACATATAAAATCTGTTCTACCTTCTAGTTTGTTGACCCCAGGTCAAGCAATTCGGGAATCAGGAATTAAACTTATATACATAATGACCAAATTGATGGAAGAAGATTTAATAGATAGTCTCCACATTGATATTTTCAATTTAATTGACAATGCTGGTTTGATTCAACTGCTATTAAAGTTATAAATATTTTATAAATAAATTTTATAAATATTTATAATATGAAGAATACCTTTTTTGCACCAAGCATATAACACGTACGTTACAGTGAAAGACACAAAGCTAAGACTGAATACTGTATACATGTAAACATATTTATAACTAAAATTAGCTTTCATTAAAATATTCAACAGTGATCAGCTCAAGAGCTAAACACTGTCTATATACACCCATAACGGGCAGGCATGTCTGCAAATTACATAACAACAGCGATCAACCATATTCAAAATGAGGAGCTAACTGATTGGATAAAATGTTGAAATATTAGTTAAATATTAGCAAGAACTTATGATGTTGATGTCACAATACTATTTCCGGATTGGTCAATCTGAATTCTAACCTCCATTTTGATTTCTAAAAATGTATACATGTATTTAAAAAAACGTTTATAACGACCACAGCTTTATGCTCCATACTGTAGTTGTGTTGATGTGTTGGCAGGGGGAAACTAGGTCAGTAGATGAAGAGTCAGAGTTCAGCCAAAGAAGATTTTTATAAACATGATGGTAATGTACTAACCTGCATAGAGTCTCCGCTTACAGTTGATATATACCCAACATAGTCAAAAAAAGCTACGCTAACAGGCATAACAAAAGCAAACCCGCTAACAAAGGCTTTAGTATACTGTTTAAGTTGCTGCATAGCTGTGCTTTTTAACGCACACAGTTCAATATGTACTATAGCGGTGCACGTCAGCAAATTAAGACACTAAATATCGCAGACATTTTCAATTTGAATACTACTATAACCGGAGTCATTGAAGAAAGAGTTGTAACTGTAGGTGTAGGTGTAGGTGCGTGCGAGCAAATTAGTGATGAAAGCGTGCGTGCAAACAAAACCGCCAGCAAACTTTGACCCCCAATATGACCTGACATCGAAATGAAACCGGACCCTCTAAGCCAGCAAATATTATTTGTCAACAAGACGACACATGTTTTTGTTTATCTGGAATAACATTAAATGTATTTATTTGCTCACTATCCCCCGGGAAGATGAAGAAAAAGTCACACATAACAAAACAACAACAAAATGACAAAGCGATAAACTCATTCAAAACATAGTTGCTGTCTGGTATTAACTATGGAGAGTGAGATATTTTTGGTTCGAAAAGGCTGAATTTACGAAAACATTGAGTTACAAAATGACCACGCCTAGTTTTTGCGAAACCACACCCAAATTGTAACTCGATGTTTAAGTTCTGTTAATCATAAAATGAACATTCAGTTACAATTTGAGCGTGGTTTTGCAAAAGTGGGCGTGGTTTTGCAAAAGTGGGCGTGGTTTAGCAAAAGTAACTCGATGTTTCCCTAACTCGATGTTCGTAACTGGATGACCGTAACTCGAACAATTCAGCCTCTCTTTCAATTCTATTGTTGCCTAATAAATCTTTGTTGTCCGTGACTGCTGTTGATAGGTATTTATTAACGAGAGTTTTCAAAATAAACAAATTGTTTTTAGTACGAAAATTTTGTTTGAAACCAAAATGAAATTTGGATAGAATGCTGGTTTTCTCAATAAATCCTGCAAGTCTAGAGTTCAGAATGCTGGTAAACATTTTACCTAGACAGCTGGGGACTGCAATTTCTCTCTAATTATCCTGGTTAGATTTTGAGCCTGATTGGTATATTTGAACAATAACACTTGTGAATAGATTTTGTTGAAGTCGTGTAATGATTCATTATGTTATACCTTATATATAAACATTTAATCACAAAGCTAATCCTCACCAATCGATTCTTTTTCAATGTATTAAGCTCCAGGGTTCAATCAAAGTGAATTCTGTGACATAAAATATGCAATGCTTAGGGAAGGAGCACTGAAAGAGAGGATGTCATTCATAGTCAGGTCGGTACAGTTAATTTAAATTTATTTGCAAGAGTAATCAGAATATGTCGTGTAGCGTCCTTGGTTGCATCATGGTTCGTCGCCGAGGGCGTAGAAACCATGCTTGTAAGAATGACAAACTCTATTGGGTAAAGGGAGTATTCTGTGATATATCATGTAATATTGATTATTTTGGCAACAAATATATGGCCATGATTGGCCATCCATAGGCAACCCTTAGTGCACATCATTTGTAGACGATCAACTTCATGTTCGTATAACAGTCTGAGATAAAAGCTGAATATTTGCAATAATTTATTTAGGAGACACATCTACAGAAGGATTAAATGGAAGCGTTTTGATATTTATTTTACTGATGACGCTCAAAGGGGCAGAGAGTGCGTTATGCGATATTTGACCTTAATTATTCCCATTCATTATGCGATGGCCGCGATTGGTCACGGATTTACTTAATTTAAAAAAAATCATATTTATGTTGTAATCATTTCTGAAATCCCAATCTTTAGTCACGGTCGAGCGACGAATACACATCTAGCCATACACATTCCTGCATCCTATTATAGACACCTGACTTTAATATCTGATTTGCATATCATTATGTATGATTCGAATTTTGCAGGCACTCTCTTCATGTTGTAATTACTCTTTTAGTAAATGTATTGATTTTCATTCAGTAGGTTTTAATGGTAGTTTTAAAGTTGGATATAAAGGCAATGCTCATGAAAATTGTCCAGTATATATTTATAGTTATGCGTATTGTTTCGCAGTTAAAGGGCGGTGGTCGTCGCGCAGTGCTTGTTCGTATTTCAGGTAACGAACAATGTATTTTAGTACACGCGTTGTATACGTCGCTTCAAGTCCCATATCGAACAAGACGCGGCACGACGACTTCCGCCCTTTAATATATTAGTAGTAATAATAATAATAATAATAATAATAATAATAATAATAATAATAATAATAATAATAATAATAATAATAATAATAATAATAATAATAATAATAAATGGAGTACTAGTATAACATAAAACAACATGTTCACAGGGTTCATTTGAAACACAAATATTACTATAACATGTTAAATACAATGCGGTCGATAATGTCTAATATCTTCTCGTGAGTATAGATTGGTAATTATATCGAACAATATAAGTTGTTTTTGTGAACTTGGAGGAGCATTATTATACTTTATATTATTAGATATAGGTCACGGAACCTACAATGGTGTCGGTACTTAGAACTCTGACGAAATACAAACTGGAAAACTAACCGCGGGAAACGCTATTGACAGTAGGCTGGTTAATAAATTACGACTGCTTGTCGTGGTAGTGTCGATTGTGACGTCAAAGTGAATCACATTTCGGAGTACTGAGCTCGACAAAGGAACGTTACGTATCATGCTGTCATGGTAATAGACACTTTATTTATTTATTTATTTATTTATTTATTTATTTATTTATTTATTTATTTATTTATTTATTTATTTATTTATTTATTTATTTATTTATTTATTTGTTTGTTTGTTTGTTTGTTTGTTTGTTTGTTTGTTTATTTATTTATTTATTTATTTATTTATTTATTTATTTATTTATTTATTTTTTTATTTATTTACTTATTTATTTAATGTAATATTGAAAACATGTATAACAATTGCAAACTATAGTGATACGTCGTAGTTTTTGCTATCGTAAATGGCAGTTCCAATTCGTCTTCGTCTGCACCTGAATCCGCAGTGAACCTAGATCTAACGTCCAACAACAAGTCAACCCACAGAAACACGTTGCGTCAGACTTTAAATTGTTTCTGGTTGAAGAATTATATTTTTATTTTGTCATTTCCTCTGTCAACGTCAATCAAATATATCAGCGGGTACTTGTAATTTTGGGTTTCACAGATTTAATTTCAAAATAATAAATGAGGAGAAATTCTAATTTTTTACTGAAAAATGATTACCCACTAGAATGTAGCACTCGAAATATTCAGATTTAGGGTCGTGTGTCATGTGTTCATTTTAAGATAGGTAAATTAGAAGGCAGATAGTATATGATCACATCGCCATGGATGGACAATTTATCATGGTTATAAAACAAATATTACCCAGTTAGCCGAAAAAATAGGCACTTATATTTTTATATGTGTTTAAATATGGCTCCAAAATAACAAAATCGTGAATTCCGTTTTTTCAATTCACAGTGTATTACAGAATTGCTTACAGAAAACGTAAATTCCGATAATACCATAATTCACAGTGTATTACAGACTTGCTTACAGACAACGTAAATTCCGTTAATACCATAATTCACAGTGTATTTCAGACTTGCTTACAGACAACGTAAATTCTGTTAATACCATAATTCACAGTGTATTTCAGACTTGCTTACAGAAAACGTAAAATTCCGTTATTACCATAATTCACAGTGTATTACAGACTTGCTTACAGAAAACGTAAAATTCCGTTATTACCATAATTCACAGTGTATTACAGACTTGCTTACAGAAAACGTAAAATTCCGTTATTACCATAATTCACAGTGTATTTCAGACTTGCTTACAGAAAACGTAAAATTCCGTTATTACCATAATTCACAGTGTATTACAGACTTGCTTACAGAAAACGTAAAATTCCGTTATTACCATAATTCACAGTGTATTTCAGACTTGCTTACAGAAAACGTAAATTCCGTTATTAGCACAATTCACATTGTATTACAGACTTGCTTACAGAAAACGTAAATTCCGTTATTACCACAATTCACAGTGTATTTCAGACTTGCTTACTGAAAACGTAAACTGTGGCTTTGTCTTAAATATCATATCCATCCATTGAAAGATTTTGACATGAATGATGTTACAAATATGTGTGTGGAGGCAGTGGAGGGAGTGTAAAATAGAATGGTCATTACTATTATTCGAAGTATATGGAATAATAAATATCTATCATTCACTACATGACTCATTATTGTTCTGTTGATGAAAAAAAATAGTTTACGACAATGAAATATCCACAGATCTACTTGTGTATGGCGCGGGGTGAATGGTGGCCTGCAATGACTTCACAAGTTAGCTCTCGACCAAAACACCTCCCCCTAATTCAAAATAGAAAAGGTGCCATCGCCGAGTTCTAGCAAGAGTTCGCCTAAAATTCAGTGAATAGTAATTGAGTTAAAATATTAGTTGAATTCACCGAACTCCAGCGCGTTCACCGCCTGCGTGCTCACACCTCCGAATTAGAATGATGAGGTGAGAATGTTATGGAGTTAAGACGGTCATACTGAACTCGTGCGTGTAAATCTAATTCCAAAAGTTCATCAACGGAGTGAATAATTCAGCTTTTATTACAAGTCTCACAACAACGTTAACGATTATTTTTTAATAAATTACGAATGCATGGGCGCTTATTTTGACGGCTGTAATGCAATGAGTTTCCATGATGTCACGTATGGAGATGATAGATTATAGTCGTAAACGTGCACATCTGTTCCATGTTTCTTCTTGACGTTATTAACAATAACGTGTGATATTAAAGTGATATTGAAATAACCGAAACCGCGTATGTCATTATGTGGACTACACCTAGAGGTATATAAGAAATAACATATTTGAGCACTGTACTAAAGAATATAACCATGAATCTATTATAAATCTTAAAATGGAAATCAGCCAAAATATTAATGTAAAATACGTGCATGTCCATATCAACAATGACGTCATGGTGCAGGCATATGACGTAGATGTAAACTGGGGATTGCGTTGATTTCGATGTCAAGTAGCTTCGTTTCAAATCCACCGGAACTTGTAGTCAGATTAGAAGATAAGAAGAGTACTAGTAACCAGCTTGAAGCAAAATGTGTAAAACTTTAAATTTCGAACACGGAGCTACAATTTGTGTTAATATGAACCAATTCTCCACCCAGCAAAAATATTGTAAAGGTTATCAGACAAGAATATAAGACAACGAATTGAATTGCATTGGGATTTGATCAAATGTCAAATTA